ATTCCCTTAATTTGCAGAGATTCTCTCACTTCCCCTTTTGGCTATGGGACAGGAAGTGAAGATTAATTTCCCCGAATGGGACACAGATGCCAAAAAATAAATTAGCAGGGGTTATAACCCTCCCTTGCTCTATCCAAAATGAAAAAAAAAAGTTTTGACTATAATTCTACTTTAAGTACTTTATATAGTAAGTACATATCAATAATCTGAACCAATGCTTTTACCCTGCTGATAGAAATACCCTTTGGTGTACAATATTGGAGCCTGTTTGGCACACAATGGACCTGCTGTTCCTGTTGTTTATGACTTTGGAAGTGCCACGAAGACAGCAGCTTACTACTCACCACTTGGAGGAAGTAAGATCATGATGAATATCCAATAATCCTTGTCTATGTGAATTCTGTAAAATGGTGATCACAATGTTAATGCAACGTTCTTTCTCTACAGGAGAGTTCACTGCTGGCTATGTCCAGTTCCGAGCTATTAACAACGAAAGAGCTCCCCTGGCTCTGTGCCCTGGTGTAAAAGTGACAGGCTGCAATGTAGAGCATGTAAGTATTAGTACTTCTTTTATACTGACACAGTTAGGTTGATTTACTAAAGTCAAATAGGTTGTTTTGCTTTGAAAGCAAATTTTCCCTTAACTTAGTGAATGAGGTGAAGCTCTGCTGAATTCCATCATTCAGTCATGCACATGCAAAAATACAGTTTTTTTTTCTTGCACTTACATAGTTACATAATTAGTCTGGCTGAAAAAAGACAAAAGTCCATCCAGATCAACCATTAAAAAAAAAAAGTTATTATCCTACACCCACAGGTGATCCAGAGGAAGGCAATAAAACCCAGCAAAGCATGATCCAATTTGCTCCTGCAGGGAAAACAAAATCCTTCCTGATCCCCCGAGAGGCAATCGGATATTCCCTGGATCAACTTTACCTATAAATGTTAGTATCCAGTTCTATTCTGTGTATCTAAGAAAGAATCCAGGCCTTTTTTGAAGCAATCCACTGAGTTGGCCAGAACCAACTCTTGAGGGAGTATATTCCAAATTTTCACATCCCTCACTGTGAAGAAACCTTTCTGTATTTGGAGATTAAATTTCTTTTCCTCCAGACATAAAGAGTGCCCCCTTGTCCTCTGTGATGACTCAGGGTGAATAGTTCTACACCGAGTTCACTATATGAACCACTGATGTATTTATACATGTTGATCATATCCCCCCTTAATCTCCTCTTCTCAAGAGAGAATACATTCAGTTCCTCTAATCTTTCCTCATAGCTGAGCTCCTCCATGCCTCTTATCAGTTTGGTTGCCCTTCTCTGTACTTTCTCCAGTTCCCCAATGTTCTTTTTGTGAATTGGTGCCCAAAACTCAACTGCATATTCCAGATGAGGTCTTACTAATGATTTGTACCGGGGTAATATGATATCTCTCTCTCTGGAGTCTATACCTCTTTTAATACAAGACAGGATTTTACTCGCTTTAGAAGCCGCAGCTTGTCATTGCATGCCATTATTAAGCTTGTGATCTACCAGAACTCCCCAGATCCTTCTCCACCATTGATTCCCCTAGTTGTACTCCCCCTAGTATGTATGATGCATGCATATTCTTAGCCCCCAAGTGCAGAACCTTACATTTATCAACATTAAACCTCATTTACCACATAGTTGTCCAATTAAACAATGCATTGAGGTTGGCTTGTAAGTTGGAGACATCCTGTAAGGACGTTATTCCACTGCACAGCTTGGTGTCATCTGCAAAGACTGAAATGGGATTTTTAATCCCAGACCCTATATCGTTTATAAATATAATAAAAAGTAAGGGTCCCAACACTGAACCTTGGGGTACACCACTGACAACCCTAGACCATGCAGAGTATGAATCATTAACCACTACTCTCTGAATACGATCTTTTAGCCAGTTTTCTATCCATTTACATACAGATTTTTCCAAGCCTGTAGACTTTACCTTACACATTAGCCGTGTGCGGGGAACTGTGTCAAACACTTTTGCAAAATCCAAGTTTACCACATCCATTGCCACCCCTCTGTCCAAGGTTTTGCTCACCTCCTCATAAAAAGAAATCAGATTTGTTTGACAACTTCTGTCTTTCATGAATCCATGCTGTCTGTTGCTTAAAATATATTTTTTCCAGCAAGAACTCATCTATGTGGTCTTTTATTAAACTCTCCAGTATCATCCCAACTATATAAGTTAAACTAACAAGTCTATAATAACTTGGTAAAGATTTTGACCCCTTTTTAAATATTGTCACCACATTGGCCTTACACCAATCCAGTGGTACTATGCCAGTCACTTTCCTTAGCATTTTTTGCAAAGTGACTTTCCACCACATTTTATGGGAAAATTCACTTACAAGGTGGAACTTGGATAGGGATGGGAAATTTAGTAGGCTATTCCAGAAATAGAACTAGTTACGGCTGAGGACAAAACTTCCTTAAGTAGCAGCCTTGAGCAAAGTCCCAGTGCTTGGAAGGGGTTAAACGGACAGTGCTCTTCCTGAAGAGCCAGGGTTCCCTTGTTTCAGATTCATGCTGACTATAAAGCACCAGAGGGGTAGCAAAGCACACAGAGTCCCCAAGATCCCTCAGTGTCTGTTCTCACAAGGCCTAAGAACAGAATGGTAGCCTCCTTCCAAGCAGCACCCTCTAGTGATACCAGACAGATCTTTGACAGACAGCTCCCCTCAGTCTGCTTACTGAAGAACCAGAGTCACTCTCTCTCTTACTTCAGGCCTCCAGGTAGCCCAGCTGAGGCTGCATGGCAGTAGGTGCCTGGGGAGGCAACGTGCCTTCGCCCCAGGCTGGTGCAATCCTATCCAGGAAATACCCAGGGCTAAGCATGCCCAAATAATAAGTACCATCTTCCAGCATCCTTCAGGGCAGCACTCCCTGTGATTGGATGGAGTGGCGTTAATATTCGTACTGTGTTTTGCATGAGTTCCACCTATACATCTAGAACCTTCCTAGGTAACTTGGATACAGAGGAAGCCAGGGGCAGAACTAGCAGTACATGAACACACAGAGCAAGCATTACTAATAATTGCAGCTCTCTGTGAAGCAGAAAGCATAGTTAGATTTTCCTAACAGGAACCAACTATAAATCTACTTATCCTAGTACTTATCTAGGAGGGTGCTACACATACCTTATTATGGGGGCTATTAATCACTGGACCGTCTATGCTTTTGGATGAGGCACGGTGTCCCTATCGGAGATTGTCTGCTCACTGTGCAATGACTCAGCATCCACCACCATCTGTCACTTTAACCCCTGTGAGTGCATTTATTAAGGTTTTTAGTACATTTTCTGGATTTGACTTACTACATTCTGCAGGCTTTGCGCTGTCTTTTCTCTACTATGTACAGCAGCAGGGTCTTCGATAGGGTAATACATTCAGTTCTCCTGTACCAGACCTGGGTCCCATCAGCTCAACAGGGGACCCCGGGAAGCCTTGCTGTTCATCTATAGTGCAAGCAGTTTGTAATATATGACCAGGCTCCCAGGCTTGCTAGGACATGCATTACATTTTCCCTGGGCCCCATCAGTTCAGAGGAGTGGTGCAGAAGGTGGGAGCAGAGAGGAGACTTTTTTTCATATCAGCAAGCTGGCAGATAAAGCCAGAGCCGAGGTTCCTGATACTGATTTTTAAGTCCTGGTTGGCCACACCTGCTCACCGCCTCCCTCAGTAAGTGCTGAGGAGGGTGGAGAGCGCAACTTTAACAGGGTGGTGGGAGGTGACTAATCAGAGAGGTGGCCGAGGGTGCAACACAGGGATACCAGTGGATAGGCAAAGCGGCACAACTGCACAGCACTTGTTTTTGTAAGAAGGTATAGAGAGATACAGCAACTGTAGTACTGCAAGTGGCAAGTCAATGCAAAGAGCCATACGACTGACAGCTATATAGCATCTTCTGTATTGTGATCATCATCATTATCACACATGTTTGGGAGGGCAGTAAAAATATGCTACAAAGGCACTGGCACTGCAGTCTGTAGTATGGCAATGGTGGTAGTGGTTGTACAAACACTCCCAACAGCTATAGCCACCAAGAATGTGTGTAAACCCTCTGCCACCAAAACCATACTACAGTGAGAGTGCTTTTACAACATAAGGGGGATTGGTTGGTAGGCAATAAAAATGAGACTCAGCAGCATGTTTTTTACTGCGCCCCCCCCCCCCCACCAACACAAGTGTGAACAAAACCTAAAAGGAAGCCTCTCCCTGTTTGTAAATCTGACAAGCCAACAGTAGGCTGTCAGGTGTCATATTGCTTCCACACACCCCTATGAGTGCCAGTACTCCCCAACGCATGTACCCAAGCCATGTATTCTGGGTTCTGCATGACCATTGGCAGATCCAGAACTAGGATAGCGGGTGCCATCAGGCAGAGGGGAGGGAGATCAGTAAATGTCCATTCACTGATCTCCCCTTATTGCTAATGACTCACGTAAAGCGTCACTTCTGGGTCCTGATTTCACTTTCTCCAGTCATTATAAAAGTTTCCACTGAGAGTTTGGAGGATTTTTCTTTAAAGTGTTACTAAACCCACAACAGTAAAATCGGTCTGTATATGCAGTAAAGAATGCTTGTTATACTCACTGTGGAACCTAAGGGGTTCTTCCTCTGCATTGTGTAAAAAGGCTATTTGATCCTGTCTTCTCTGATCCTCCCCTTTTTCCAGTGCCCCCCTCTTATCGCCTGATAAGACAGACTGAACCGTAGGTATTTTGCACATGATCAGTTTGGTGTGTATTGCTAAAGAGGTTTTTTTTTTCCTTGGGAGAGTGCATGTGATCAGCACAGTGTCAATCAGCACTTTCCAGGCAGTGGTCAGGAGTTTTGCATCTTCCTAGAGCAGAAAGAAAACTCCTCCTACAAGCTTTAACTTGCTGGATACTGATAACAGTCACAAGACTGCTCTAACTGCTGATGAGAAAAGGTATTTAGCAGTTTATATTTAGTAAAATAATTGCACTTCCATGTTGTGTGTACTGTGGGAGACCAGATATAGTGAATGCAGGGTCCTGGGAGACCGGATAAAGTGAATGCAGGGTCCAGGGGAGACCAGGTATAGTATATGCGGGGTCCTGGGAGACCAGATATAGTGAATACAGGGTCCTGGGAGACCAGATATAGTGAATGTAGGGTACGGGGGAGACCAGATATAGTGATTGCAGGGTCCGGGGGAGACCAGATATAGTGAATGCAGGGTCCGGGGGAGACCAGATATAGTGAATGCAGGGTCCGGGGGAGACCAGATATAGTGAATGCAGGGTCCGGGGGAGACCAGATATAGTGAATGCAGGGTCCGGGGGAGACCAGATATAGTGAATGCAGGGTCCGGGGAGACCAGATATAGTGATTGCAGGGTCCGGGGAGACCAGATATAGTGAATGCAGGGTCCGGGGAGACCAGATATAGTGAATGCAGGGTCCTCGGGGGAGACCAGATATAGTGAATGCAGGGTCCGGGGGAGACCAGATATAGTGAATGCAGGGTCCGGGGGAGACCAGATATAGTGAATGCAGGGTCCGGGGAGACCAGATATAGTGAATGCAGGGTCCTGGGAGACCAGATATAGCGAATGCAGGGTCCCGGGAGACCAGATATAGTGAATGCAGGGTCCGGGGTTTAGTAACACTTTAAAGGATAAATTCACTTTTTTTAGCAATATTTAAATTTTCATAATAAATAGAATCCTTCTGTGATAATTTCTGGCCCAGCAACCCAATCTTCTTATCTCTCACTTACATCATCCACAGTCTGAAATTTCATGTTTCTGTTTTAAAGTTTTAAAAAGTTAAATTTTTAAAACATTCTTTCAGGTTACATCACTTCCTGTAGGTAAGCTCCCCTCATTCTCTGTGCTTTTGCATTACAGAAAAGGGTGTGATAGGGTGTGTATTACCATTCTGGACCACAGCGCCCTCATTACTATACCACCACCTATTTCTTCCCTTAAAGTGACCATACACATTACAATCTGATTGCGCAATCTCCTTTAGATTTCCCATCAGATATGCAGTGCAAGAGCATATCTGATTTGATACAAATTGAATTGATTGTCCAGGTGGGTCCTCCTATTCCATAGTTCTGGTAAATCTAAAGGAAATTTTACAATCAGATTGCATAGTGTATGGCCATCATTATACAGATACATAGGAGGAAGTGGATAGAGGCACTGTGTATAAAGGTGGCCATACACTATACAATCTGATTGTATAATCTGCTTTAAATTTACCAAAACAATATATTAGGAGGACACACCATCTATCCAATCACTCTGTATCTCCAATCACTCTGTATCCAATTAGACAGGCCCTTGCACTACATCATGGGTGTCAAACCCACAGGGCGCATGTGGCCCTAAAGAGTTTAGCAACCCAGGCCTGTCTGGAGGGACGCTGGGGAATCCAGGCAAATGCACGAGTGGAGAGATGCCAGGGATGCCATGCAAACATAATTGATAGGTGAAGGTTGTTTGCATCAGTGCAGGATGTGTTTGCTATTGAGGTCAGTTTGAAATCCTTCTGTCTGTCCTAAATCTACATACCAGCAAGTGATGAATCTTTCTAAGAAATTCAGCAAGGGCTAAGGTAAGGCCTTGTTCTCAAAATCAAAGAAACCTTTTATTTTTTTGCAACAGGTACATTAATGGTATATTGGTACATAGGGGAGCTGGAATTTAGAAAATAAAAAGGTGAACTTAATCTGTAAATTCTTGTTCAGACTTATGCAAGGAGGCTTTAGTGATATTAGGTTGGTAATATTTTTTTTTTGACCTTTCACTCTTTCTTAGCACTGCATTGGAGGAGGGGGATACATCTCAGAGGGATCACCTCGCCAGTGTGGAGACTTTGCATCCTTGGACTGGGACGGCTATGGAACACGTAGGGGATGGAGTTCCACCAAGGAAATTACTGAGGCAGCTGTCCTACTGTTCTATCGTTAATCTGTAAACAGTTGTCCATATTCTTCCCTCTACAATTTTGGTTTGCTTCAATAAAATATAGAATACATTTGGGTGAAATCTGGTTTAATTATTGTTTAAATATGCAACCATGCTGTTTTTGAGCTGCTAAGTTTATTAAAATGTGTTATCCATCAAAATGACTTACCGTATGCTACTTTACAGTATAAATGTAGTACAGTGATATCCAATGAGCAATCTTAGAGTCTGTCTGGGGGTAAGAAGACCCCCTGTTTATGCAGCTTGGTTAATATGTAATTCAGACAATGGGGTGAACAAAGAGAAGGGAGAAGAGTTTGAGAGAAGAACTTGGAGTGAGCTGCAATTTTTAAATGTATTTATTGTGCTTATTTTCAGTAAGAATAGTCTTTACAGAGAATGGCTTAAGGGCCTTTTCACACCACAGTTTCAGTATTCCAGGTGCATTTCTGTATTTGCGTTTTTGATGCATTGTTAATGCTTTTTTATGTGTTCTGGTGCATTTCCCCCTTTTTTTTCCCTTCATCTCAATCAAGGACATGTGCATTATGCTGCACTTTTTGTCATGTTCCAAAACTGTTCCATAAAGAAAAATGCAGCATGTTCTACTTTTGTTGACTGCAGTGGAATGCACTGCACTGGTGTGAACTAGGGCCATTGGAATATTATTTCCTTACAAAAATATGGCATTTTCCAGGATTTTCTAAAAAAGAGAATATAAAAAACAGGTTATTTTATGTAACGTCCCTTTAAGAATAGATAGGGTAGAATTTGCAGAGTGGCTAAGGTCCATTACTGTTGTTTGTTGGTAGAAATAATTTTTTAAAAATAGGTGGTGAAAGATACATATGTGTATGTAACACACCGCACTAATACTGATTGCAGGATGTTAATTAACCACAAGATGGCAGTGTTTTGCAGTTAGTTATTCAGACTAGTGTGGATTCACATATGATTGAAGCTCAGGTTTCACAGGTATTTGACACAATAGTTCAGCGGTTCAGGTCAGGTTTACATCAGGTTCAGGTCAGGATTTTATAGAAGTCAATAGTCTGTAATCCGCACCTGAACTGGACCGCACTGCTCAGACATCATACAGGACTCTTTTTCAATTCGCATTTAATCCGTACTGCCAGTGCACCAGACGTGTGTGAACAGGCACCATTGGAGTCAAACTGCATCCAATCCGCATGTATGTGAACCAGCATTAATGAAGCAAAGCCTTGTTGAACTTGTGAGCTGATAGCAGGATTTCTATACTCAGATAAAGAGTAAACAGGCTACATTTCCCAGAAGAGGGCTGAAGCCTATATATTCAAAAGCCCAGGAACTCTTCTGGAAGGAAGTGAATGCTCAAAGGCTGAGAACGTGTGTGGAGAAGGCAGTGCAGGACTCAGAGGACCAAGGCTGAATCAGGTCACATTGAGGAGAAGGAAAGAGGGACTGCAGACCGCTGGTACTGCTGACAAGTAGGACAGTCAATCCTGCAGGAAAGTGGATCATAGTTCTGCCATTGGGATCGCTTCTTCAGCAGATGGACTAAGAAAACACAAGGGCCCCCCAACAGAGAGACCACCATTTGCCCTGCAAAGTCTACAGACTGGGTGAGAGGGTTCCAAACCCAGATCATCACAGCGGTGTCTGGAGGGGTGGAGCCTGAACATGGCGGCACGAGAGAGAGAGTGTAGCTTAGCACTCTCCGTGAGCCTTCCCCCCCCCGCTTACCTCTTTATGAAGCCTTGTCAGAGGGACCAGCTGCACTGAATGCAGTGACTCACCTGCAGGAGAGAGTTGGAGAGAGCCGGCGGAGTCCGGGGACGGTCGGAGCCGGCGGAGTATTGGGAGGGTGCTGTGTGAGAGACACCTCGGGGTCTTCCCTTCTACAGCGGCTGCTGAAGAGGAGTGGGGTTGCCTGGGAGACGACCGGTCGGCCTGGAACTGGGGGAGAGCCGGGAGAGAGACGCCTCGTGGCCTCAGCTGGTGTCTGGCGTCTTGCGGCGGCGGCTTCGGAGGAGGAACAGGGTTGCCAGGGAGACGTCAGTGAGTCAGCTGGGACACTGGAGAGTCGTTGACACTGACTCCGACACTGACTCCAACACGTGAGGAGCTCTGGGAGCCCCGAGAAAGAGAGGGAATGTCCGGCATCTCAGCAAGTGGGTGAAACGGCTGAGGGTAAAGGACATACTGTCCCCACAATAGAAATAACATTCATATAAATATATAAATATATCATCTCCTTGCCTCCTACATCCAACCTAACTCCACCCTAATTCCACATCATTCCCATATCATCTCCATATCAGTTCTAATTCTACAGCTCCACAAGTATATAATATCATGCTCATTCCTTTAAAACGGCTAAACATCCTAACCCCCACTCTACTCCTTTCTCTATTTAACTACTAACTTGCATATTAGCTCTAATCGAAGGGGGCCTGTAATGTAAAGGGAGGATAAGCTACATGAACTACGAGAGACCCCTAGGAATCCCTTCAAGAGGAGACAAGCGGATTTAAACACAGAGGAGGACTGTTTCTGAAGTGAAGTTCCAACGCGGTGGGTGAGTGAGGACTGTGGGTTTTTCCTGCAGGTCCTCTTTTACACTGCATAGACATTGGTTTTGTATATTAGACTTTTATATATTCTGAGTTCCTGCACTAGATTGTGAGGTGCCTGGAAAAAGGACTGTGACTTAAATACTCAACCAGAAAATAAAAGAAATAGGGGATTCCTAGGACAGGTCTGAAGATTGGAGGAGTAAAAGATCAGGAGTTTCAGGAAATATGAGTTAAAAATTCCCAAACTACAGCATGAAAGGTAAAAATATCAAAGGGAGTGGGTCTAAGAACACCCAAACGGGTACGATTAAGAAGTATGTGTCACAAGGAAATGTTACCCCAGAAAGAACCCAGGGAATAAGTGAAAAAAGTGAATCGGAAGTAAGTCTGGATAACAGCCCAAGACTTTCCCTGGGCCCAGTTTACAATAGTCATATGGAAGGTATGGAACCAAGAGAGCTGGAAAGAGATATGCAATTACCTAATAAAAAAGAAATGGCGGAGATGTTTAAAGGTTTGGAAAATTCAATAAAGCAAGAGATGGGGATGATTCGGGAAGATCTGGGACAATAACTAACTAGGGTGGAGGAAATGGAGGAGAAGGTACAAGCCCAAGCTCAGACCATCCCAAAACTAGAGAAATGGATAATTGAAGATAGAAAAGAACATAAGAGATTGCTTTATAGGATGCAAGAACAAGAAAATAGAGAAAGGAGAAATAATATCAGAGTAAGAGGAGTACCGGAATTGACACAGGGGGAAGATCTAAAAGAGCTATCTGGTAAAATCTTGAACTTTATAATGGATAAATCGGATGAGGAGATGTTTAAACTGGATGAAGTATACAGGATTGGGAAGTACCAACAAGGAAATGGGGTAGAAAAACCAAGAGACATAATTGTTAAATTTCACAACTATGGAGATAGAGAAGAGATATGGAAAAAGATCAAAGGAAGATCAAATATTACATATGGTGGGAAAAATATCCAAATTTTTGCAGATTTGACAGCAGAAACTCTGAGAAGGAAGAGAGCACTGAAACCCCTATTGGAAGCGATGAAAAAACAAGGAGTGAAATACAGATGGGGCCGTGACTTAAGCTTAATTGGGTGG